TTGCAAATAAAATCCCTCAAAATAATCAGCGTTTACAAAATAAGACATGATTTAGAGACATTCAATGCTTTAATGATGCCATGCTGGCAAAATTGAGTTTAAAAAGGATGGTGGACTTGGATTTAGAGATTTAATGCTTTAATGATGCAATGCTCACAAAATTGAGTTGGAGACTCATAGAAAATCCAACCGACTTATTGGCTCGCGTTTTGATCAATAAATACTGCCCAAAATAATCGTTTCTCACATGTAAACCAAGGGTAGCTTGTTCTCATGGTTGGAAAAGCATTTTGAATAGAGACCTCCTCGAAGAACAACTTGGCTAGGCAATAGGTAACGGTTTATTAGTCAACATTTGGCAAGACCCATGGCTCTTAACGTCACCTAAAAAACTACCGTTTGGACATGCCAGTGGCGGAACTAAAAACGTATTTAATATGGGGCACATAATATAATTTACCATCACTAATATTTACATTATATGTATTGAAACTATTTTCCCTTTAATTACTAATGAAAAAAAAAATTAGTGTGGGGCACATGCCACATACTCTTCCTCTCTAGATCTGCCCCTGGGACCTGCTACACGGGAGACACAAAATCTTTACCGTATCGGACTTGTTTCACCCGAACACAACTGGCTAGAATGTACGCATGATCGAAGCCATCCTTCCCACACATACTGCTGAAATATTAAGCTTGAAATCGAGTTTGAGCGGAGCTCCGGACAAACTGATTTGGATGGGGAAATCCACATGAGCATATACCACAAAACAGGGTATTACACAGCTTTGGAGAAGGAAAAAATAGAGGAATTCCAACAGCCTCTACCGGATTTTAGTTGGATCTCGGATGTGTGACAACAAAACACCAGTCCAAAAATCAAACTCTTCATGTGGAAGACTGCCCACAAGTCTACCAGTTGGAGAGAGATTGTTGTCAAGACACATTCCGGTGGATCCCAAATGCAAACGATTTGGTGAAGTTGAAACCATCCCTCACCTCTTCTTCCAATGTGCTTTCTCCCAACAGGTGTGGAGAACAACTCCTTTTGTTGGTGGTTTGGAAAATGTTGATTGGACCGAATATGAACAAGCATGGACCATACTCAAAAACAAAATATGTCTACCACCGGGCAACATAACTACAGGACCACTCGCACCATGGATATTGTGGTCTCTATGGATTTGTAGAAACAAACTCGTCTTGTCGGCAAGAGAGTCACATCGGAGGAAGCCCTCACAACAGCAATCTCATCGGCAAGGGAATGGCTCAAGGCACAACAACAACCAACGCATCCAAAATGAAGAAACACTCGAATCAATCACAAACCAACATATGATGTATTGGTGTGTCAATCCGATGCTGCGTAGAGCTCAGAAAACCAAACAGCTGGGCTTGGATGGTTGGTCAAACTACATGGAACCCGCAACCTAGAACAGAGTAAAACAGAACAACATGTGAGCTCCTCCCTCATGGCCGAGTCTTTAGCGCTAAAAGAAGCGGTATCAAATGCAGTGGAAAAGGGTTTTAAGAAAATGAGATTCGAGTCTGACTCATCTCAACTTATCAACGCAATCAATTCGGGATCGTCACTCCTGAATCTTTACGACATCATCGAAGATATCACGGCTTTTGCCCAAACCTTTGAACTAGTTTCTTTCGTATGTATTAGCAAAGTGTAATGCAATGGCTAATGGCCTTGCTAAACAAGCACTAAGGTTTCTACTTGTAACGTCGTGATAATATGAATGAATTATCTTTTGATATAAAAAAAGACATGAAATAGAAAAAAAAAATCCAAAAATAATAAAAATACGAAATTACTATTACATTTTATTGGAACCAAAGATGTGGTAATTGGTTAGCATATGAAATAAGTTCCATTATGTTTTTCAGTTTCATCTCCCTTAGAAACA